TAATCATAAAAAGCATTTAAAAGTCTTTCAATATATACAGAACGCTGCGAAGTCCGTTTTATTTTTTCAGAGAAAGTAGAGACATGCCATTATAAATATTCAAGTATGAGCACTGCACGAGTTTTGTATTTCAGTATAAAAGAAACATTCTGTAGGGGTAAAGAAGAAAAACTTATCCTTTTCACTCTCTGTTATTAAAACCGCTTTTATTCTGGAATGGTATCTTTTTTCTGTATTATACATCTGGCAAATAATTTCAAACCATTCTACCCATTGATTCGATCCCTATGGTCTTTATTTGCCGAAAGATTTAAGTATCTGAGGTACTTCAGGAAACAACAAAACGTGGGATGAAATTTTACGTGACTGTATATCCTCGAGTGCGGAGGATCTAAACTATAAAATACCCATTTTAGTAGAATAAATTGCCTTTAAAGTGCCTGGTACATTGGAATTCTCTTTTCTCACAGTAAAAATAAAAAAAAAATATAATAATAAAGAAACTATGGGTAAAGGTTTATAAGAAATTAAAGAAACGGAACACTCAGTTCGAAATAAGGAGCAGACGATCTCGCACAAATATTTAAAAACGCATAGCGATAAAACATAGATATCAGTATTTTTTAGTATTGAATTAAGACCAAAATAATCAAATAAGAATAAAAAAATTATGAATTATTCACGTTTACTCCCCACCCCAGTCAAATTACGTCCTTAAAACCTTTTGAGTACTTTCTATTTGAAAAACGTTTACAAGATAAGTAACAGTTTATAAATTATCTCGCTTTTAATCGCACATTTTAAGTAGTCAAAAAAACTTAAACATTTTTTTGCATATTTTATATTAAATATTGTTTGATACAGCAGTTATATATTAATTCAGAAATTAAACAACAAAAATCAGCGTTAATTTTTAAAATTTTCACAGCACCAGTTTCGATGGTTTCAGCGAACCACCATCCTCAGCTGCAAAACCATAAATGAACAAGATAGGAAATAATGATAAGTTATGTATGTTTAGATTTTATAAACAATGAATATACACTGAAATAACGAAAACAACAGGTACTGATGAGCTTAGGAAAATATAGAGTTAAGTTACCTATACATATCACAAGTAGAGTGATAGATATCTGTAAATGCTTCTACAGATAGTTTCACTGTCATAATTGCAACATTTTATGCTTTCAGAGATCTTTAACGCGGTCTAACCACTGGAAACTGGAAAAAAGCTTATAATATTTTACGGACAGAGATGAGATTTAGTTTCCCATAACATGACTGTTTAAAAAGTGACCACAACTGCAAAAATTCCGGCTAAACGTGGAATTTACGACACGAATGTGGCCTATAAGAAACGTCGGATAAACATGATCAGCGTAAGTTTTTAAAAATCATTTCGTGTACCAAACATACAATACTGCTTTTTGTAGCATTATAATTAAGTGCTGGGACCTTACCAATCGTTACTGGTAATCATAGGTACAGCATTTCCTTTAGTATATGGTTGACAGAGAGGTATGCAGCTCTTCTGGGCTCAGCATTTCGGATAAAGGGACTTAATTGGAAACAAGCAGTCATGTATAACCAGTCGTGTTTCAATATGGTTGGGTTCTGATAGTCGTTCTATTTAGAACGACTATCAGAACGAAATCTACTATCAGAATTCTACAGCTGCTGTAGCTCCACGTTAGTATGGAACCTACTTAGCTGACATTCATTCAACAAGTATCTAAAACAGGACAAAGCCATTCATTTATATTCTGTTACATCAGAATAAGCATATCATTTTAGGTCGTTTTACTCGGCTCGATTTAGCCCGTAACCATGGTTAACGACAGCCATGAAAGATGGTTGAATCATCTAATTGTTTCTGTTTTTTATTTCATTTTCGTTCATATCTACGAATGAAAATTGACGTAAACTATAGTCTGAGATGAGCCAGAGAAATTAAATTCTGTATAGCAATGACGACACGTGTCACACTCATAATGAAGGGACAGTCGAAAAGATCTTCAAGTGCTTAATTAAAAGTAACAGTCTATAGTTGGATTAACCTTTTTTAATGAGACAGCATAGAAAATGTCAACATTATTCTAAATTATAGTTAGAGGTACACTCACCTAAATCTGGAATGAAATTGAAGGATACTTAAGCTACTAAATCTCAGCACTACCCGACATATCTTGAATGTGATGCAGTAAACCGTGGAACACAGAAATCTTAAAACTCTGAATTTTGTTTTTAGGATGAATTGCTCTAATCGAAATTCCCAACACTACTGGAATGCGATTTTAACAATATTACGCTTCTGTTGAGAACATACTAAATTCTAGACAGGTGTTTCGGGAAGAAAGAAGACATAAGCTATTCTAAGCTATATTTTCGAGAATGAATGAATGTTATTAACTTAAATTAGTTCACAAAGTTTGTAATCATTTTTGGAAAGCATTAAAAGCTAATATAAAAAATATGGCTTAGAAGCTCATCATAAATTTAAAAGATGTTTATGAAGGCAAGGAATACCGCTAACTGAATGAATCATATTGAAATAATAATTTTGTCGTGTATTATAATTTTGTTTTTCAATTACTCTCTTATTTTCACAAAGTATGACGTTTCCTTTCGCAGATAAATTAGTTTCATTTGCTTCGTCCTTGCTGAGCCCTATTTAAACATTCAGAAATAAAAGCAAAGCCAAAATTTTCATGTGTTTATAAGCTATTTCATCCTTCCTTCAAGCATGCTTTCGAAGTGTAACGGTACCACGCTCAGCACGTATTCGAGAAGTCCATGTTCGAGTCTCGGCGAAAATATTGCTAGTTCTTTATGTCTCCTGTATATATATATAAAAAATAAAACCCTAATGACTCTAAAAGTGACAACCGAAATAACAGGTGGTGAGCAATAATTCATCACTTCTAGAAATTGGCGACTGGGTACCCTGATCCCCAGTCACTCTTTAAAAGAGAAAATATATAAGGTACGTTCTCCTTCCTTCCAGCAAGCCTTCCTGGTGTAACGATGGCCCACTCGACACGTATTCGAAAAGTCCAGGTTCGAACCCCGGCGAGGGCATTGCTCATTTTTCTTGTCTACTGCTTCAAAATTACCTAATGACTCCACATGCTTAAAAAATACTTTTTATAGACGTTAAAAGTACCTCATCGGGTTTATTTGAATTAGTAATTAATGATAAATTAATACAGCGTGTTTCAAAACGAATATAGGTATTTCGAATTCCTATACGTATTAAATTGTATGACATACGAATATGAAACTTTGCACACATATGTACGAACCTCTCAAGTTCAGATTACAGATGTTACAGATGTTCAATATGTTCTCCATCAGCGAAGAACAATATCACATCGATACTCCAATTCCTCCCATACTCGCGCAAGCATGTCCGTCGTCACTGTTGGTCTGGCAGTAGGTCCGTTCTCACTCTCCAGGTTCTGTGGAGTGGTGTAGATAACGCGTCTTTAATGAAGTCAGGAATTATTATTTAATGTCAATTAATAATTTAATGTGAATTATTTAATGTCAGGAAGAAGTCACAAATCCGGTGACCTTGGAGGCAAGCTGAGACATGCTAAAGTCGCCAGCTCCTTCACGACTGATCCAACAGTTCGATAGAGTTTCATTCAGATAATCACGCAGTTGGCGACACCAGTGAAGGGGTGCCCCGTCTTGTTGGAAAATGAAGTTGTCTTCGTGCAGCCTCGGAAACAACCAGTTTTGTACCATTAACTGTGTTTCCATCAAAGAAGAATGGGCCGTAAACAGATGATCAGTATATCGCGCAAAACACATTGATTTTGGACGAATCTCCTACATGTTCAATGGCTGCATGTGGGTACTGTAGGCCCCAGATTTGAACATTGTGTTTGTTTACGTGACCACTAACTTGAAAAGTGGCTTCATCACAGAACACAGTGCATTGTGCGAAAGTGTTATCATTGTCAATAGCATAAATAAACTCGTTACAAAATGCCACATTTTTGTATTTGTCATCAGGACGCAGAGCCTGTAACAAATGTAACTTGTACGGCGTCATAACCAACCGACACCTCAAAACATGCCAAATTGTTGTTGTAGGCAGTTGTAACTTCCGATTGGCACGACGAGTTGATTTTGAAGGGCTTTGTTGGAAAGCAGTTTGAATATTTTCATCAGGAACCCGAGGGCACACAGAACTCTTTCCTTTACATACACATCCTGTATTTGAAAACTGTTGATACCACCTGCAAATGTTCCTCCCATTCGAGGATCACTTTGGTACCTCAGCTTGAAATGTATTTGCACTGTAATCATGGAATTATACTTCGCAAACTTGAGAACACAAAATGATTTTTGCTGCATAGTAGCCATTTTAAACATGTGACGGTTACCACGCAAAACAGAAGACAAGTGACACCTAGTGGCTATTAATATAAACTAGACTATGTATTCGTTTCACCAATAGCCGAGCCGAGGCGCAGCGATCGATAGTTTGGACAAAATAACACTTTGTAATACGTATGTTCTTTTTTAAACACGGTGCATATATCTATCATATATAAATAGAAATGCTTACAACCCTCTATTTCATAGTACTTATTTCATTTGACAAAACTTGATTAAAAAAAAACTATATATTCCGTTAATTCAAGCAAAATACATAATTTAATTTTTCCCTTCGCACTGATTTAGCAAATCGACTTGAAAATGAATTTCTGGAATTGGCAAAAGTCGTACTTAAAAGTAACTAACAGTTAGAATAAAGCGCAAAATTCACAGTAACGTAGTTCATAATATTCCACTGATTCAAAAGACAAATTACGTTGATAAAAATTTAATACAGTATAAGGTATTTCTCCCTTCTTAGCATGCTTTTGTGGAACAATGGTTAGCACGCTCGGCGCGTATTCGAGAGGTCACGGGTTCGATTCCTGGTGAATGCATTGCTCATTTTTCATGACTTCTGCTTCTAAATGACCTAATGTTTATACAAACTATCAAATTGATGATATATTAAAAACATAAACTTTAGGATAATTATTAACACCATAGCTAACAGATAACTCAGCAAAAGCCGTCATTAAAGAAAACTGAACGTACTTGGGAAGCATCCTGTGAAGTAAAGCTTCGGTTTTCTTCTTCTCTTCCACTAAAGCGACTGTGCGTTCATCCACAAGTTCCTCTAAGTTGTATGCATATTTCTCCATCATTGCCATCATATGATCCATAATATTTGATTTCCTAGAAAGTTTACAAATGCGAATAAATATGCAGTTGAAAATACGTTTAGGAAAATATATTCTAAATTTAAAACGTATGTTTAAATTGTGTTTTTTTTAGTTGCACAAATAACTTAATAATTACAGGAAACCTTGTTATAAAATAAAATAGTGAACTTCACAATGGGGCTTCCCTCTTAAATTTGGAGGGTTATATTTAATTAGCATAACTATTGCATCACAGCTTTTTCTTCAATTTCAACTTAATTTTAAATATAGGAATATAAAATTCCAAATATCCGGTTCAAACATGTGAATGGTTAAAATTGTAGCGAAAGTTTTGCGCAGTTCAGCTTTAACTAAATATTATGTCATCTAAATTTTAAAATATCATCAATTACTTCCTTACTTTAATCGATTGCAAAACTACACATACGAATAGGTTCAAAAATTTACATAAGTGATTCTTCAAATTAAAACATCAAGTTGTAACACAAGTCCATAAAGGTGTAGCATTCATTTGTAAGTTGTTATAGCATTGGAGAACAGGCACCAGTGCAAAGATGGTCGCTCTGTTTTTTATTTGTCGCTCATTGTTGATATGCACTGGGCAAGATAGGCGATGTGTGATGTGTTTCCTGAGTAGTGAAGGTATTAAAACAGTCGATTTAATCACTGAATGAAAGCCCACTAAGTTGATTCGCGTCTGTCCCTGCAGCAAGTGCATAGGTCCTTATAGAAAACTTAATAGCGAGGATACTTCTGTGAAAGACGCCCGGACCCTGGGCGAGACACGGCGTATTGACGAACGGGAACATCGCTAGAATGAAAGAGTTTGTAAGAGAAAAGAGATGAGATGTTTTACTATGAAGGAAATAGTAAATAATTTTGATATCAAGTGTTAGCATACAATATTATCCATGATCTCCTACGAATGTCGGCGAGATGGGTGCCACATTAATTGATTGCTGAACTGAACGACTGCAACGTCAAAGCCCATGAAAAAATTTCCTTTGTTTTGAGGTCAAAGAAGAGAAGCATTTCTGAAGCAATGAAATGCTGCTCAAGTTGCTACAGAATTCAAAGAATTCTTCTCAGGTATCTGGGTATTGCAAGGAGTTGGATTACGTGCTTTATAGATTTTAGAGGTTAGGACAAACAAAATTATGCATAGATAATTTTTATTAATCTCCTCATTTGCCTCATAATATATAATAAAGATTTTGATGTAAATTAAACTTTTGTATACCAGTATGGCTGTGGGAGTTTACAAAGACATAATGATTTCCAAAATTTAGAAGTATAGCTACTTAAAGACGCAGTCAAGCTTTAATTTCCACCAGATTTAGAAATTGCGAAAACATAAGAATATATATATATATATGTATGTATCCTTATTGGTTCTGGCCAGTCTCTCTAATTTGGCTCTCGCCAAAGGTTATGAGACATCCCTTAAAAAGAAAAAAAAAATCCTCTTGATTATGTGTCACAAGTGAACTACACTATTGCAAACAGCAACTATGAAATCAGAACCAGACGAGAGTAAAGGGACAGTACACTAGGACTTCACTATTATACAAGGCCTGCAGAAACAATTCATTACTTTCAGCGGTAGGTAGCTCGTACGTCTGCGCAGTGAGCATAAAACCGAACAGGATAGAGTGGAGAATGTAGGATGCATTTGAGTCACAATGGATCATTGACTAAGATGGACTATGAATCGCGCTTTTGAGATTTAACCGTATTTCAAAAGTGATGACAGTGTGGTCGCTACGCAGAGGATGTTTTGGACAGCAGTTCTACACGGGAAGACATGAAAGAGTACCAGAACGAAACACAATTCAGAGTGGCTTGCTAAGTTTCGTATCTCAAGTACTACGAATAAAAAGCCACCGGGAAAGCTGAAGACAGTGCGGAAACATGAGAGGCTAAGGAATGCTATTGGCAGGAGTCCTAGACGTTAAGTAATTAAATATGTTGCAGTTTTACAATTATCAAAAAGAAGTATGTATCGCATTCTCCATAGCGATTTAAGTTAGCCTCCGTACAAAATGCAGGTACCCATAATTTATTCGAGCGCGACTATGCCTCCTGGAAACAATACAGTACAGACTGTATTGATCTACTAGATGAGTATAGGGACATCTTTTGCTAACATGAATCAAATCGGATATGTCACACTTTGAACTCGCAGACCATGTGAACAAACAAAACATTGCAAATCCAAAAGTACTTCGTGAAGAACCACTCCATATTGAAAAGTTAAAAGTTTGGCGTGGTGCTTCGGCTTTCAGGATTCTTGGACCTTACCTTTTTAATGATCATCAATAAAACGCAGTCACAGTCGTTTCAGAAAGTTATAGAAGCCTACTGACAACTACCTTATTCTTGAATTACAAAGACAGAGCGTTGATGTTTCATAAGTTTATTTCCAAAAATATGGGGCAACTGCGCACACCGCTCGAGACATGTTGATAATATTACGTACTGTGTTCGCAGGCAGAATCATCTCACGTTTTGGGGAGTTACCGTGGCCAGCCAGATCTCCCAAATTGTGTGCTTGCGATTTCTTTCTGTGAGGATATCTAAAAAAACCAAGTGTTTCAACCACGTGTCTCCAAATTAAAAATTCTGAAGCATTGCATCAGTGAAGAGCTTAAGGTCATGCCCCTGAAATGCTGGTGAAAGTAATGAGCAGTTTTGTTCGTCGACTCCGTCAGTTTATCACAAAGGGCGGTGGTTATCTCAAAGATGTATTTTCAGAAAATAAGCATAACAAAAAATGGTATTATATTATTTATTAATTACGACTTTCGTCTTTACATTTCCTATGTAGTTACTATGTTCTTCAGGACCTGTAATAAAATGGTAGACTGTTTTTGCTGAATCCTGCCCATACAAGAATATCCAGTCGCACTACAGTACCAAATATATCATTTTAAGCAAGAAAACAATGAATATTATTTAACATTATGTCAGGAAATCGTAGACTTACAACATCATACATTTATGTGCGAGAACTGCAGCTGTTTTAAATTGGTATTCCATCATTGGATGGCATATTTCTGTACCTTGCATATCGCTTGGGTAGTTTGTTTCAAAATGCTTTTTATGATATTATTTATTGCATATCAAGAGCAATTATTGCCAGATGGAAGAGATTTAACCAAGATAAGTATGGGTAATATTGTAGTAGTGTTTCACTGGGATGACGTAATAATGTTGAAATAACTAGTGATATGCTTCGTAAATATAAGTATACCTATCAGCGGGTGTTACAAAAGATCGTTTAAATATCGGTTTGCTTTCGTTAATAGAATCGATAATAAATTAAAAATCGTTGTACCAGGACTCTCCAACGCAAGTTCAAATACTATATGAATTACCACGGATCCAGATTTGCTAAGCCATATATCAAGAAAATCAGTGCTCAGCAAATGTTACAAAGTGGTAAATCTCGTTTCCCTTTAGTTAATGGGGCAAAAGAAACCTTCTATAAATCTTAACTCGACACTTTGGCAATTTAACGATCGCACATAGGTTTACAAGCACCTAGAAGATACTACATGCACATTAGAACTATAATGTTTAAATATGCTGCGGGATATTCTCTCTTTGAAATGGGTTGTCTTTTTGCGCTACTGGAGCATATTGTGCATTTCCAAGTTTATTATGATGCTTTCAATAATTTGTGCTGCCTGCGTGGGACAAACTGTTCACCACCTGTCCATCTGTTTATCAGTATGAAAATGCGCTAATTGATATATCGAGATCTATTAACTTTATAGCTAGATAGGAAGAGCACGGAAAAATATAACTCATTTAACGCAACATGATCTCAACTACAACTGATCATAGTCGCGCTCGTCACGCGCGCATAATCACGGAGGAGTTAAAGAATTCGTTAAGAATTGACTGATATGCTTGAAGTCGATCCTTGACCTGTAAGCTGTTTTCTGTTGTTAAATACGGCGGGACTACACCTATACGACCGCTGGGTGAATTTCTGGTATCCCACTCACTTCCTACCTGTACCTGCTATTAAATGTTCGAACTGCGAGAAAAGTCGTTTCCGAAGAGGAGAGTCTAATTGAAAAAGTAAAGTTTTTATCAACCTCCTGTCACACAGGTAAATGGTTCTTTATGCGTCTCTTTTTCAATTATGTCTATACTTTTAGCAAAATAATACATAGCAGCTAACTAGTTAACAGGAAGAGTACAGTTCGAAATTTAAACAAAAAATGAAACAATAAAATAACATAAATAGATAATAATATAAGAAATAGTTGAAAATTTTTTGGTCTTCTTCAAGGGACAGCCGAAAAGTGTCAGTGGAACAAACATTTTCTGAATTAAATCTGAATGACAAACAAATTCATGAAGTAACAAAACATATTAAAAAAATTAATTGTAAACAACAAATTTAAAATAATTTTAAACACAAAATGTAAGGCCATCAACACTGTTTATAATATTAATATAGAATGCTATTCAAAATTAAGTTTATGTATTTTTTGAATTTTTTTAATCATTCGTCATGACAAAATTAAGTAAAGCCAAGTAAGGTCAATATTTGTGTTTAATTACTTTCATTTTGTTTTTATTTGCATGTGTTTTTGAACTACTTCATGAATTTTTTCTCGTAATATCCAGGTATAATTTAGAAATGTGGCTAGGTTGAAAATTTTAGGGTTCTTGAAAGAGACCAAAGAATTTTCAATCATGTCTTTTACAACATAATTAATTTTTAGATAATTTTTCGATATTTGTTTTGCTCTTCTCCCAGTTTTGACTTGTGTTCTTGCTACTAGATAGTTAGCCACTATTTTAATTTAAATATTATCTCTTGATTATTTAATTAATTCCATAGCATAATGAAAGATACATATACTCCAGTAATGAGCGATTTTAACAAGGAATTATTTTATTTTAATTTTACAATTTTTAATTTCTTATTTATATATGTGCTGTTTTGTTTTTTGGGGAAGGAAGATGAAACCCAAATAATGCTTGAGTCATGCT